AGCATTAGACGCTAGTGAGACATAGATGAACGAGACATGAAGTCTAATCTGGAAGAATGTGTGTCCTAGTGCTAGGAAAGTAGTACCTTTCCAGTTTGCCAAAATGACAGTCCTTCTCTGCCTTCCTCACTCTTTCTAGCTGGAGACTCTGACACTCTCCTTTTGTCTTCTTTCACTCTTCAGTTTCTAAGTTAACTATGTGAACAGGAGTTTTTTCAGTACGGTGGAATTAATGATGCTGTCAGACTCAGTGTCCAGCAGGTCAGAGTGAGTCCTGGCTTTCTTGCTCCTGTGATATTGACCAAGTCTACTGGCCAATTTCCTCACCTAACACTGACCTTGAACTCCATCTCGCAGCTGGATTACCTACAGACAACAGTGCTGCTTTGATCTGAATAATCTTCTAAAATGTAGACCCCAAGTAGCTTTCCGATCAATGATTACCAGATGTCCTCAATCTCAGAAGAATAGTTTAAGTTATTAACATATTCATGAAGCAACATTTTTACCTGTTATGAATATATAGGTGATGCTTCCTTTCAGTCTTTTCAACAACCCCTTCTGGCTGGGCTTTCTATTGCTGCTCTCTCCTCTCACTTATGAGCCACTCTTTTGCCCACCTACCTTGATCCCTCTCTGTGGAAAATTTTACCTCTTTGCTGGTATCTCTGGCATCTCTATACCTGAAGGCAGAATGTACCTTTAGTATAGACTCCATAAAAATATTATTATACCTTTATTAGGAAAATGTGGAAAACGAAAAATTTTATTAAAATACATTTATAAAATTTTATAAAATGTGGAAAAGGAAAAATTTTATAAAAATACATTTATAAAATTTTATAAAAATCATTTATAAAAATAAATGTTTATCTTGAGACAACGTACATAAATTTTGAATGCAAACAGAAATGTATTTTACTTTGTGTAATCAGCTAAGTCGCTCCCAGATTTTTGACCCTCAGAAACTGTAAGAAAAATAAAGATTTGTTGTTTTAAGCTACAATTTTTCATTATTCAGCAACAGATAACTATTATCTGACGAGACACATTAATATAAAAGTTGGGAAACTAAAGCTCTAAGGCAAGTAACTATTTTTGTAAATGTTTTATTGGAACACAGTCATATCCATTCATTTACATATTGTCTGTGACTGCTTTCACACTACAACAATAAGTTTAAGTGGTTGTGACAGAAACTGTAAGGTCTGCAAAGGCTAAATTATTTACTATTAGTTCTTGATTGATAAAATATAGAATTATAGAAGAAATCTGATTTGAGTCTAGACTATTAATTTGAAAGAGGAATCTCAGAAATACATTTTCCTTTTTTGCAGATTAAATAACTGTGACTTTAAGAAGTAGGTGGCCTAAATGGCATCATATAACTAACAGCAAAGCTGGACAAGAAATCCAAGTTCTCTATGGTCTAAGTGTTTGTGTCTCTCCCCTATCTCTGAAAAAATAAATTATATGTCAAAATCTGAATGCCCAAAGTGATGGTCATTAGGAGGTGGAGACTTGGGAAGGTAATTAGATCATGAAGGCACAGCCTTCATGAATGAAATTAGTGCTTTAATAAAAGATACTCAAGACATTCAATACTCAAGATACTCCATACCATTCCACTATGTGAGAATATGGCAAGAAGGTGCCATCTATAAGTCACAAAGCAGATGATCACCAGACACTGAATTTACTAGTTCCTTGGTCTTGGATTTCCTAGCCTCTAGAACTATGACAAATAAATGTCTGTGGTTTATAAGCCACCTATATTATGATAGTTTGTCATAGCAGCCTAAATGGACTATTACGTCTACCTCCCAATTCAGCAGTTTCTTCAATACACCATACTACCTTCCCTAAGATAAGGCACCAAAATCAATGTATTTTTTCATCACAAGTCTACTGAGTTACTTTAAGTAAGTCACTGCAGGTCCCTTTACTCAATTTCCTGTAGCAATATTGTAGTATCACTAATGTGTTATCAACTTCTTAATGGATGATCATATTACTTGATATATTTAAGTTCATTCAAAAGTACATGAAAAAGAAAAAAATGACATATTACGAAAAGACCCATAGAAAAGGTCACCTAGCACTAAGAACAGTTATTTAATTTAATTTTATTATTTTTACTCTTGTTCAGAGATTTAATAATTGAAAGTAGTAAGCTGAATGTGTATACTTATTTTCAAAAATTACCTGCTGAATTATGTATAAATCCTTTTATAAGAGAAAGCAAACAGCACCATTTCAACTTCCTGTGTCCATAGTTGACATTGTTAATCAAATACAGCATTCTTACCCACTGAATCAGGTTACGGTCTCAGAATAATTCTCAATATCACATTTCAGGAAATTATCATCATTCAGTCAAAATTGGCACCTGAATTAAAACTTATGCACTTTCTCTGACATACAGAACACCTTGCCATACAGTAGCCTTTTTATAGCATGTGTAGATATACGTTGGTTTTAGATTTCTTTTTAAAATTGATTGGCTACTGATTTACTGAAATAATTTAACTTCAATCTGTTTAAGGCAGCTCCAAGGCACACATGTGAAACACAGTACTAATGGGACATTGTATTTGAGAAAGGATTTGGGATTCTGGTTTAAATTCACTGCAAGGTTTAGTTTAAATGCAACTTACTCCATGAACCTTTCCCTGATATATGAAGTATGTCCTGGTTTACCTGGGTGATACCAGTTTGTTTCTCTTATGCTGCCATAATTAGTAACCATACCCCCTTTTACTCTCAGTGGTGTCCCAGTCTGTATGAAAAATTACATGGCTATCCTACCCAATTTGGAAGAGGCCTCTTTTGTCTCCAAAATCCCTATAATACTTAATGGCTCAAATGTGACAAATGATTTATCTTGTACAATAGCTACTTCTAGTTATAATTTACCCTCCCACAACCCACTTTCCAGTCTGGATTACAAATACTTTGAGGAAAGTTGTATTTTAGTATTCATGGTATCTAAAATAGAGATGCAATGGATACAAATCCCATTACTTTTTTGATCCTAGTGCCTCACACATACTAAACTCAAAGAGACAACTTGTTGAATTAATAAATACTTGAGATTGTAAACTTTTTTACAGTTAAAACTAACCTCATTCATCTTGATAAACCTCACAGAGGCACAGGGCTTTGGACATTATCCGTGTTTACAAAATTGTTTGAATGAATGAACAAATGAACAAATACACACAGTACAATTTTTCTCATGTTGTCCTTTTATAACACTATATAGAAATAAATTGGCAAAAGTTAATTAATTAAAATATTAACTAACATGTACCAAACAAGAGTAGCACCTTTTCTTACTCTCAGTTCATTTAAGTGGTTGACTGAAATACAATTCAGTCTCTTTGTCTGAGTATTTTGGTATGTTAATTAAGCAGTATTGGGTCAATGGTGGCCCATCTCTGAAAATAAGACATAGATCTGATGACCTCGGAAGTCTTACGTGACACATCTGGAAAAGCTGTTCTGAAAAAATGGGACTCAGAATATGAACTATGCCTAGAGGTCATAAAATTCAGTCTATAGTGGTCAAGTTCAAGGTTTAGCTTAATATAAAAATATCCAACATTCCAAAATGGAAAAAACTAAGGCAAAGACGCCACACCAATCAGTACTTAATGGGGTCAGAAACATCCTGGGAATTGTCTTTCGTGATGCAACTTAACTATATTCCTCAAATTCCATCTTTCATACTTAGCATGTCATCTAGCGTGGTCCAAACATCACTCTCACAGCTCCAAAAACATTATTTACAGGCCTCAACCTTTCTTTGCTGAGCACAGTTTAGGTCAGCTTAGATTTTCAGACAAGTCATTTCAACCAATAAGATGTCTTGATTCCCAAAGAAGCAGCATTTTTTCAATTTCCTATGGAGTTTACTTGGACTTGGAACCTTTCCATGCACCATAGTTTACTCAAAAATGGACCTAATCCAGCAATCCCACTACTGGGTACCTCCCAAAGGAAAAGAAGTCATTATTTTTAAAAAGATGCTTGTGCACACATGTTTATAGGAGCACAATTGCAAAAATATGGAGTCAACCTAAATGCTTATCAACCAATAAGTGGATAAAGAAAATGTGGTGTATATATATATACACCACGGAATAACACTCAGGCATAAAAAGGAATGAAATAATGGCACTCACAGCAACCTGGATGGAGACAGAGGCCATTATTCTAAGTGAAGTAATTCAGGAATGAAAAACTAACTATCATAGCTAAGCCATGAGGACATAAAGGCATAAGAATGATATAATGGACTTTGAGGACTCAGGACATGAGAGACAAAAGACTACACATTGTGCATAGTGTACATTGCTCACAGGATGGGTGCACAAAAATCTCAGAAGTCACCACTAAAGAACTTGTCTGTGGCACTGCCACCACTGCCAGTCAGCCAAGACCACGGCTACCTCCTGCCCTGCAGCTGCTGCCACTGCCTGTGTTGCCACTGCCTCGACCAGCTGTATGATTAGGCCACAATCTTCAATAAGTAAATATATTCCTCAGTTCTGTGGTGTTCTTGGTCAACATTTATGGAGTTTCTGAAGGGTGTGGAGATTACTGCCAGGCACAGCCCAACCTCTACGCAGAGAAGTGAACTGAAGAAACTGATTACTACTCCACCAAGAAGCCCCCCGTAAGAGGGGTTATCCTGCATACAGAAGTGTTGAGTTGAAATTCACAGAGCATTTTATAAAAGTTCTGACCTCAATAGGGTAAACCTCAGTACACTTCTTTTCTGTTACTTCAGTATTACTGGGTTGAAGAATTGCTGCTTGTTTTTAGGAAGTTCATTTAATTTGCCATTACTTACAAATTTATACTCAAAACACTGAGAATTTCAAGTGGACTGTATTGAAGTAGACTTCAGTTTCTTTGTATCATTTCTGTATTCAATTTTTTAAATTATTTCATAAACCTACTGAATGTTTTTTAACTAAATTAATACGACTCGAATGAACCACTCGGCTCCTGTGGAAGTCACATACAAGAACATGAGATTTCTTATTACATGTAATCCAACCAATGTGACGTGAAACAAATTTATAGAGGAACTTCAGAAGTATGGAGTTACCACAAGAGTGAAGCAACTTATGGCACTAGTCTTACGGAGAAAGAAGGTATCCATGTTTTTGACTGGCCTTTTGATGATGGTGCACCACCATCCAACCAGATTGTTAATAACTGACTGGTTAAGTTTTGTAAAAATTAAGTTTTGTGAAGAACCCGGTTTTTGTATTGCTGTTCATTGCATTTCAGGCCTTAGGGTAGCTCTAGTACTTGTTGCCCTAGCATTAATTGAAGGTGGAATGAAAGATGAAGATGCAGCATAATTCACAAGACAAAAGTGGCATGGAGCTTTTAACAGCAAGCAACTTTTGTATTTGGAGAAGTATCACCCGAAAATGTGGCTGCGCTTCAAAGAGTCCAACAGTCATAGAAACAACTGCTGCATTCAATAAAACTGGGGCGTCTAATGCTACTGGAAGTGAAACTTGAGATAGGACCCAATTTGTTATACATATTAGCCAACATGTTGGCTTATGAGTATGTCTAATGAAGCTTCCATAGGAGTATTGAAAGGCAGTTTTATCAGGTCACAAGATAGACAGATTTGGCAACCTTTGTGTTTGGGTTACATTCAACCTATTTGGACACTTGGCAAAAGATTCTTACTGTCAACATATAAAATGTGCTTGTCATTTGTACCAGTTGACCTTTCCCAAAATCAGGCAGTATTGAGTTATGACTTGTTTTAATCTATTCCCACACCAAGAATCTTATGAATACACAGAAATTTAGTAAGATTAGGTGCCAAAATACCCAGCACAATACTTGCAAACTTTTAGTACCATACAGAACTAAAATCCTAGGAACTAGGAATACTCTAGACCTTATGTGGTTTATTCCTTCAATCACTTCAAACATTGAATATAGGGTGGCCAGGTGTGGTGGCTTACGCCTGTAATCCCAGCATTTTGGGAGGCTGAGGCGGGTGGATCATGAGATCATGAGTTCGAGACCAGCCTAACCAACATGGTGAAACCCACCTCTACTAAAAATACAAAAATTAGTTGGGTGTGGTGGCACATGCCTGTAATTCCAGCTACTCAGGAGGCTGCGGCAGGAGAATCATTTGAATCCGGAAGGCAAAGGTTGCAGTGAGCCAAGATCATGCCACTGCACTCCCGCCTGAGTGACAGAGTGAGACTCTGTCTCAAAAAAACAAAGGAAAAAAGGTAGGGCCCACATGGTTATTTGCCTTGGTCACTTTGTTACCTCTGACTACATTCATACCAGTATATATCAGGTTTGCTTAACCACTGATTTTTTTAAATCAAGTTTTACAGTGATTATTTGATATGTTTCTATAAATCTTACTTTGTGCTGTTATAAAAAACCTCCATTTTGAAAATCTACATTGTACAGAAGCACATGTCTTCAACGTGTCTAGACCAAAAAAAAAAAGCATTACAATTAATTTAATGTTTGCACTCTGAGGTGCAACTTAAGAGGGAGAGGCTGAGAAAAGAATGGAAGAGGGCTGTTAATTATTTTTAGCAAAATGTTGCCTTTGTCTTATGCAGAACATGTAGAATATACTCTTTAATTTAGTAAAAAATTTTTTAAGGTAGAGATACTTGGTTATTCTAATCACAAACTTACTGAAATTCTTGTGATTTTTTTCCATACTTATCAGAAGTTGTTTACCAACTTATTTTTGTTTGAAAGTGTGATTTTCTTTCCTTCTCTTCCCAACCTCTCTTGCAAAAAAAGGAGTGAGTTTCTGCTAATGAATTGAGCAGACATCTAATATTATATGCCTTTTGAGTTGTATAACTTAATATTTGGATGCTTGATAATTTATTTTATTATGTAATTAATAAAATGGTGATGTGTATTAATGTTAGTTCAACCATGTATTTATACTTTCTGGGGATATGTGGTTACAGTTCTGTGGGAGAAATAATTTGACAGTGTTCACCAGCTTGTAAAAACTTAGTGTGGCAGCTTAAACATCTAAACAAATAATGAAATGCAAAAAAAGAAAAAAAAGAACTTGTCCATGTAACCAAAAACCACCTGTTCCCCAACAACTGTTGAAATAATGGACCAAATCATTAAAACTCATACCTGAAACCCTGCTTAGTCACAATATGAAGTTTCTAGATATCTGAGAAGGCCCTTGCATGAAAACTGACAAGGAGAAAATTAAGGAAAAAACATGATCTCCAATAGTTTGCTTAGTTCCTAGCCAACTTTTCAGGTTTTCATACGTAATAACTGCGATCATTCAATAGGCTTCAAGCAAGGATGACTTAACTCCAGATCCTGCTACAAGACAGTACATGGCCCAATTAAGCTAGCTTCCATATCTCTAGAAAAATGACTAAGTTAGACCCTCCATGTGGCAATAGATGGGTCAATCTGATCTCCATTTGACACTTAGTAAAGACTGGTAAATCAAGAAGCAAGTTCAAATTGAAGAAAAGAAAAACAAAGTGCCTCCTCTCATTCCCATCTTTCCCCTCACTATCCGACTGCTTTATCTCCCTTGCCCTCCCAGCCTGGCTAGTGGGTTGGGTTAGTAGCTTACTCATTCTTCAAAGCGGAACACTGCCTACTCTAGAAAAAGGATATGGCTTTCTCAGCCCACTCATCATTGGAGTTTTTTCCTTATTTCCCAGCCTCTCCTGTGGCAATTGCAATGAAACATGGGTGTATGGCTCTTTGTTCTCTTTAAGTTGGGACTTGCAGGCTGCAAGAAGAGATGCTGTTTGGTCACCAAGCCTGCAGGCTCTCTGGGGGCCCCACCATGGACAACCCTGAGAGAGCCCATTCTAACTTCCTGGAAGTCACATTACCCAAAAATTTGACAGGCAGCTCTGGGCTTTACTCTTATTCTAAACTTTCTTCATGCCCTCTTCACATCTGATCATGCTCCTTATTTTTCTCCTTCCCCAGCATCATCTACTCTATTAATGATGATGGAAAAAAAAAACTGTGATAAACCTATGGCCACAGAGGCAAGGGAGTCTACTAAGAAATAAATCTATGATTTCAAACTTCTCCTTCTGATCCTCAAAAGATAGTTTTGAGGCTATGGAGTTAAGTGGAAGCATGAAATGAAATGAAGAAACAGAGGCATAGACTTAGACACAGTGTCCTCTGCTTCTTGCCTAATGCCTTGGGTAGCTGAGTACAGTGCAGTGGGGAAACAGACAAGAGTCAGATGACTGCTCTTTGGATTATCTAATCCAATAACCAACTGGCTCTGTAATTTAGAGAAACCTCATCATAAAATAAAATAAAATAATTGAACTAGATAGGCCCCAAGGTCCAGCAGTTATGTTCTGACTCTGAGTGGGCTCATTATGTCTTTCAGAATTCACCTTGGTTGCACCTCCTTAGAGGTTTGCAGCAGCTGGTTTTGAAGTTGCTTTTTTTCCACAATGACTTGTGAAAGAAGGAAACGGAGTTAGACTTACAAGTTTCCTTCACATTTCAGTGCTTGAAGATTGACTGGAAAGAGGCTACTGTAAATGATCTCCACTCCCCTCAAGTTTCTGCCCTGCCTGCCAGCAATCTTCTCCCTTCCAAGAGACTACTGCCTTCTTCTTCATCAAGATGATCAAGGCTACCAGGAAAACCTTCCTCTAATCTCTGCCTGCATGCCAACAACTCATAAATCTGCATCTACCCTTCACTCCTTCCTTCCAGTCTCAGAGAAACGTGTGTCCTTTCTTCAGTTTGTGTCTGCCACTAGTGCGTGGATTCTGACTCCCTTCCTCCCTGACCTACAGAAAAAGGGCTACTCTCTTGATTCCTCTTCTTTAAAATTGTCCTGGAATAAAATTATTCCAACCCTTCTAGAAAAGGTCATAGAGGATATAAAGTGGCGCTTTTCTTGTGCTTACGAGTAGAATCAAAACTGATTCTTTTTAAGATGATATTGGATTTTTACATATTGTTCAGGACATTGTTCATTATACTACATAGCTTCCTCTATATGTGGTCCCGAGGAGAAATTTCTGTTCAGTACGATTACCTATGGCAGTTGTTCTCTTGAACAGCTGTTTGCTTACATCTTGTAAACAGAGTAAACAATGTAACTTATCCTACCTCCCTGTTTGTATTGATTCTGGGAAGCTCAGAACTAAATTGGTGGCGTCACTCCAGCAGTCTAATACATGGGCAATCACTTTGTATTGAATCACTGAATCACTTTGTATTGAATCACCAAATTTGCCACTGCTTTAGTCTTTTCTTTTTTCTTTCTTTTTTTCTTGAGCTAGGGTCTCACTCTGTCACCCAGGCTGGAGTAAAGAGGAGCAATCTTAGCTCACTGCAACCTCTGCCTCCCAGTTCATGTGATTCTCATGCCTCAGCCACTCAAGTAGCTAGGATTATAGGCATGTGCCACCACACCCAGCTACGTTTTAGATTTTTAGTAGAGGCAGAGTTTCACTACATTGGCCAAGCTGGTCTTGAACTCCTGGCCTCATGTGATCTGCCCACATCATCCTTCCAAAATGCTGGGATTAAAGGCATGAGTCACCACACCTGGCAAGTCTTTTCTTATGCCTCCTCATTCTCCCATTTTAAATTCATATTATTTTAAATTGTTGTTTTATATGGACATAGAAAATCCAACTGAAGTCCTACCTGAAAAAAGGTACGCTGTAACTAGCACCTAAACAGATTAATAGATACTTCTTTCAGAGATTTTTATTTAGAAATATGTATCAAAATATATAAGGATTTCTCTAGACATGGAATAAAATTCAGATGAGTTAAAGAATGAATGGATACATGAATAGAATAAATGAAAGAAAGTAAAACTATGAAAGGCATTGGAATAAGCCTTAGAAAAAGATTATTGGATTTGAGTTTTATTATAATATTGGCCACAATAAAGTCTTGAAGTAAGATAAGCCACTCAAATTTATCTCATAAAGATGCTCTAATAGCTCCCCAAGAATGCTATAGGTAGGAGAGGTTATTACTGCATAGGACATCTTCATCACATTCTTTATCAAAGCTACTTGTGGTGGACTAGGCTACTAATAGAAGGAAAAAAATGTGATTTTATCAATTTACCGACTAAGGAGCTATGATCATGCAGAAAGGTACAGAAATGACAGAATTAGGGATGATGACTTTTCCCATTATATTAAAATCTATGGAAAAGGGATAGAACAAACTATTGAACAGAATAGTTACATAGAATTATAAGCATCTAGTAAAAGTATTAGGTGCCCCATGAAGTTAGTCTGGATAATTGTCATTTTAATATTGGACTGTGAATGCCCTATAATGTTACCTTATTTTCACTGTTAATGGCTAGGTCATTGAACAAATGGCAGTTATTATTATGGTTATTATCCTAAATCTTCTTATAGAAGCCAGGTGCCAATTCTCTGTGACATTATGCCCCTGTATAATATACTCTCTCTTCTGGTCTCACTACCCATCTTTCAAGAACAGCCTCAAATCCCATTCCCTCCCAGATTGAGTCCTTCTAGTCAGAAAACACTAAACTTATAAATGGTTCTTAGAACGATGATTTTGATGACAGTGGGCAGAGTTAATTTTAAGTTAACATGGAGGGAGCCTGGAAGTAGAAAGACAAGTTGGTTAGTTATCATAAAAATTCAGACTTAGGGGGCTAATGATAATTAAAGATAGCACTTGGCTTTATTCTACTCAGTATTGCAATTATATGCACACACATCTGTATCTCCCACCTGACCTCTGAGGACAAAAATCATACCCCTAGTGTCTCCTATGTCTAAATCATAGTAGATACTCAATAAATGTTTATTATAAACTGAATGAGTAAATGAATAAATAGAGTGAGATGCAAAAAAGTCCATTGCGACTCTTTTAAAATTCTTTTCTATTGGCTCCTCAATAAAGCAGAGGAAAGTGAAAACCTATATTAG